ATATATATATATATATATATATATATTCAACCACTTCTGAAAAATACTAAAGGATACTATTCAAATTCCAAAAAAAAAATCAGAAAACAAACATATAACATTTCATAAAATTCAATGATATTTTATTTTTAGATATTTTTAAACAGTAGGATTAATTTTAAATTTGATCCCAAAAAATAAAGGTTCTCTCATTTTATTCTTTACAATTTTGAAAAGCATAAACCGGGCTCTTGAATATTTCATAAGTCACAACTATAGTAGTTCTTTCAATGAAAAGTCATTTTTTTGTTTTACGATTTTTTTAAATATGAACGAGTTTATTCATTATTGTTTGATAAAGGACAATCCAGTAAATTTAAATAAAATTGATTTTTATATTTATTTAAAAAATCGTAAATTGTTTATTGCTCTTGCCCTATGTGCCGCATTCTCTTTTACTTGTAACCTCTGCATCGTTATCTCTCGTTATTTCTTATTACCAACTAATCACCCAGTCCACACTCCACATATGATTAAAACTATTTAAAAATTAGCATTTCATTAACGAAAATATTAGCGTGCGTTTAGAGTAAGAATTTGTGGCATAGTTCGGCTAATGGTTCGTGACTCATTACAGTATTTTCTCTTATAAAAAATATACACAAATTAAAAATAATTCTAAATCATGATTTTAAATCCATAAACCAAATGTCTTATTAAAGTTTTAAATTATAAAAATTAGGGGGCCTAATTTTATACCCTTTCAAATTATACGTGCCAAAATAGGACAATCGATATTCTTTGGGCCCAAATTTATAATTACTCAAGCCAAGTAGACGTGAGTGCTGGAACTTCGCCGGCCCGAAGCCTGAATTTTTCAGGCTCGGGCGGGCTGGCCCATATGCTGGTCTGTTCAAAGTTTAAATTCAGGCTTGGATAGCCCGAATTTTGTCACCACGCCGGAGCTCGCCGCCGTGTAGCCACCTCCAACCGCCGTCCGCCGGAGTTTTTTTTGAATTTTTCCGGCCAAGCCCGACCCGCCCGAAAAAAGTTCAAAAAAATGACCGTTGTGCCCGACCCGAAACCCAAATTTTGCCTGAAATCCCGACTTGCCCGAATGCCCGAAAACCCATCAAACGGCTACTTTTTTGCCCGTTGCCGCCCGGACCCGACCCGCCAAAACCTTACTAGCCGTTGCACCTCCGAAAATTTTAAAAAAATATCAATTTTTTAACCCAAAAATTTCCCTATAAATACCCTTCATCCTCAACACATTTTTCTCACTCAAACTCTCTCAATCCCTCTCAATTTCTCTCAATCTCTCTCAATTTCACTCAATCTCTCTCGATCTCTCAAATCTCTTTCAAAATTTGTCCAAAAACAATCACATTATCCTAAAGCTCTCTCTCTCAAATCGCTCTTATTTTTTTTATAATGGATCTTTTTGGTTATAGTGGTATTCCCGTTGATGCCCAACACAACATGGAAAGTGGGAGTGGAGAAGCGGCGAGTGCTAGTGCGACTGTGTCTGCAAGTGTAGCAACCTCTAGGAGGAAATGCAAGCGCACCTCGACAGTTTGGGATCACTTCGACATAATTGATGAGATCGACAATGAAGGTAACACTAAACATATAGCTCAGTGTAAATATTGTTTATCTAAATTACAAGGTGACACTATTCACGGCACTACACACTTGAGAAGACACTCTGAAAAGTATCTTCAAAAGTTTAGCCAATCCGGCGGATCCGAACTCCGTCAAGCACAATTGTCTTTTGATCGCACAACCGGTGGTCTAACCACTTGGAAATACGATTCGCAAGTAGATCGTATGGAAGTTGCACAAATGATAGTTGTTTTAGATCAACCACTTAGTTTTGGAGAGCATCCTAATTAGCAACGATATATTAAGGTTGTACATAATCCTAATACACAATTCACTTCAAAAACTACTCTTAGGAAAGATTTATTAAAATTATTTAAAAAAAGAAAAAGAAGCATTAATAAACCTTTTACACTCGACTAGCGGGTGTATTGCGTTAGCGGCAGATATTTGGTCTGCCGTTGCCAATAAAGATTATTTAGCTGTAACCGGTCATTACTTTAAAGGATTTGATTTAGATAAAAGAATATTATGTTTTAAATGTGTTCTAGGATCACATAGCGCGGATTTAATATATAATATAATTTTAAATGTAATTGATGAATTTAGACTAAGAGATAAAGTAATGGCTATAACATTAGATAATGCTAGTGCCAATACAAAAGCAATTGAATTCTTTGAAAATGATTTAAGTTTATTTGGTGACGGTACAATTTTCCACCAACGTTGTGCATGTCACGTAATTAATTTAATCGTTAAATCTGGTTTAAAGGAAATGGGTAATCACATTAAAAAAATTAGAGATAGTCTTGCATGGATTCAAGGTAGTAACCAAAGACAAGAAGATTGGTTTAGGTTCTTACAAGCATTAAATATACCTCCTAGAGTATTAGCGTTAGATATGCCTATAAGATGGAACTCAACTTACATTATGCTTCAACAATGCATCCCCTATAAGGATGTCATAACAAACTATATGTGTGTAAAATTAGGAGTATGACATATAGAAGAATTTGATGGGTAAATTGTTGAAGTTTTGTATCAATTTTTAGGTAGGTTTTATGAAGTTACTCTAAAACTTAGTGGAACATACTACCTAACATCACCTTTAGCTTTAGGTGAACTTTTAAGAATTAGTATTTTATTTAGCGAATATAGGGATGACCCAATCCTAGGAGTTCCTATTCATTCTATGGAAAAAAATTTTAAAAATAGTGGTCTAAGTTGCCTTTGTTGTATGGTTTAGGTACTATTTTTTATCTTAGATTAAAATTAGAATGTTTAGAAAGTGGTTTAGAAAACTTAGGTGAATTTTTAGGCATCAATTGTTTGGACCAATATCCAATAATAAAGGAAAAAATATATTCGATCTATAGTAAATATGAGATTAGGTTTAGAGTACCTCCTAGAGTACAAGAACCGCAACAACAAGACAAAAATCCGCATTCATCCTTGAATGTTTTCGGGTTGAAGAAGAAGAAGAAGACAACTCAAACTGAAGCTGTGAGTGAATCTTCATCAACAAGTGGCAGTGGCAACGGCGGCGGCAGCTTCAACGAGCTTATGGCGTACCTCAGTGAAGGCTTAGTAGTCGATGGTACGTCAGAATCGTTTGACTTAGTTCAATGGTAGAGGGCATGGGCATTAACTTGGCCAATCCTAACTCGATTGGTAATGGATATATTTTCGATCCCAGTCTCCACTGTTTCATCCGAACAAGCCTTCAGTACGACATGAAGAATACTTTAGGAACGCCAGAATGCATTGTAAATGGATATTGTTGAAGCCTTGGTTTGCATTAAGGATTGGGATCGGGCCGATCAACGTCTACAGGATACAATTTCGCCGACAAGCCAAGAATGGATCGATGAATTTAATCGATTAACATTTAATTTTGAAGACGATCCTTCAGCTTCAAATTAAATTGTAAATTTGTAATTTGTAAATATGTATTTACTTTTGACATTGTATTTATAATTGTATAACTTTGTAAGTTTGTAAAATTTGTAATTCGTCACAAAATGATTGCACTATTTTTTTCTTGCCAAGTTTTTATCCCAATTGAGTTTTTCTTGATGAGGTTTTTAACGAGGCAATCATGAATTATAAATTTAAAAATTAATAAAGAAATAATTTTTTTATATAGTTCGTGTGTTCATTTTAAATTTCAAATTGTAGTGTATATATATATATATATATAAATTTTAACACAAAATAACTTAATATTAAAAAAATTTTAAAAATTCAGGTTTTTCGGGCGGGTTCGGACGGCCTAGCCGGGTTAGGGCCGCCTAATATAAGCCCGCAGCCCGTTCAAGGTGAAATTCAGGCTCGGGTGGGCGGTCTAAATTTCTCAGGCGGGTTGAGTTTAAGCTCGGATAAAAATTTAGGCTTTTCAGACGGTCGCAGGTGACCCGTCCAAAGTTCGAGCACTAGACGTGGTGATAAACATGAAAAGAAAAACCAAAAACTGCCGTGCCCCGTCCAAGTAAGGGACCCACAGATTTCATGTTATCCCTATCCAACCACTAACCCGACAGCAACCGCGGGTCCCACGTGGCCCACATCCGTTATTCTATATACCAAAATAGTTGGGCCCCAACTAAACTGCACGAGTTTATGTTTATCCTAAAGACTTTGTTTTCTCTCTCTTTTTCAGTTTAATCCACACCCGAAAATCTTTTCTTTTCAGTTTTCTTTCACCCCTAACAGATTTCATAATATATATATAATATATATATACCTATATATATAATATACATTTATATATAATATACATTATACTCAACAACTTCCGATGCATTTTTCTTTCGAGGTTCTGATAAGCAAACTACCTGTATGAATTCTGGATCTGCGAGTAGTTTTGTCCTCGTTCTTTGAAGGAAGAAGAAGAAGATTTTAGAGAGAGAGAGAGAAAGGAAAAGCTTGGAGTTTTGATGGGAAATGCGAACGGCAGAGAGGAAGGAGCCGACGGAGGAACCGACGATGATCATGATCATCCATCGGAAGGAGGAAGATCGAACGGCGAATTGAGCGCGCGTGGCGGCTACGCTCATCGTGCAGGGCGCGTGGCGTCTTCCGAGTCCATGGCGAATAGCAGTCCTCCCGGGAGTCCCAGGCGCTCCGTAACGCCGATCTTGTTCGCTTCTCAGGTTTCAAATTCTTTCTATTTATTTATTAATTAATTATTTATCAATTTATTTATTTGTTTTTTTATTTTTTCAGTAAATGAACAGTTTTGACTAGCTCTTTTTCTTTAGATTCCTGTTTGATTCAATAGCTGCGATCCTTATTTGGTATAATGTGCGCATCATAAATTGGAAATTTTTTTTTATACATTGGTATAAGCATTTTGTAAATGATGCATGTTATTAAAGTCTTGTGTTTCGGAAATTTGAGCAATTCCGCATAAGATTAGTGGCTGGAATTTGGTTTTCAAAAGTACCTACAGATTGCAATTTATAATTCCAGCATAGTTGGATGATCAATATACGAATGGCGATGATTTCGGTTACCGCTTCCCTGGTTCTTATGGTTTTTGTTCCAACTTACACAAGTTTTTTTTTTTTTTTTTGGGTCTGCTATGGTGTTTAAATTTAAAGACAGCAACAATGTTGGAGTAAAAGAATTAGCACATGAGAATGCGAGGAGGTATCGCTATTTAGCGGATACTTGGAATAACATTTCTTAAACATTATTTAATTGTGTGCAAATTCGTCGCAGTTATATAGCAAGGCAGGCTCGAGTTTAGTTGTTGTGAAATAAGGGCTTAGGAAGATAGAAAGTTTCTAGTTTTGATATGCAAGGAGTTTTGAGAATTATGTTGCGTTTGGAGCAAGGATTCGTGTCATGGTTCGTGGCTCGCTACAGTGTTTTCTCCCAAAAAAAACACATAAACTGATAATGGTTCTGAACTCATGAACCAAATGTCCACTTAATGTTTTGGAATCTAAGACGCAATACCAAACTTATTAGGTAAGGTTGAATATATGCGGGTGTAGAACTATAAGATATAGTTTTCTCTCTGTTATTATTATTTTTTTCTTATAACAAATTTAATGGGAACCGAATTGTGAGATAGACACTTAGGATGGTTCTATGACATATTGCGGCGCAGTAGGGAGGAATTTTAGGCAGAGCACGACCATAATAAGGAAATTGAACCTCATACAAATATGCACATGTAACCAAAATGAGGGAAACTTAGCTCAAAAAAATGAGAAAACTAAATCACAAGGGGAACTTAATCAAACACCGTTAAAAAATCTAATGATAGAAAGAAGTCCTAGTTAATGCAACAGTTGCAAGTGAAAATTTTAGATTGGAATATTTGATCCAATTATAGTTGACGCCTCATCCTACAAAGGGCTAACATAGTTGGCTCGTTCTACTAATTTCTTACCAAAGTTACGTCACGTTTGAAGTATTAAACATTTATTTTTCCAGTGATGCATAAACGAAGAGTTCTTTTAATATTGTGCTTATTTTACGATAGATGTATTAAATTTCCCAACTAGCAACTATTTCTTATTTTTAAGTTGGGTCAACAACTTGGAAATGGAGTTTCTACATGAACAAATATGAAAATGGAATATATTGAAATTGAATATGAGACTCTTCCACGTTGTACATAGCTTTGAAAGAACTTATATTAACTTTATTTGTATTGTTGGTAGGTTGTATGACTATATGCATTCTTCCACACATTTTGAATTTCTTACATTTCAATAAGCTTTTCGTTAGAGATTGTATAATATGGTAGAAATCAACACAGTATTTTTTGACTCTTGTGAATTCCATGCAGCTGAACTCTACTTCCATTTGCGTTTGCTCTGTTAGAATTCAATTTTTTAAACTTCTAAGTGCTGCATTTTGCTGTTTACTTCAATAGTGTTTTAATAAGAACTTTGTTAGAATTCAATTTTTTAAACTTCTAAGTGCTGCATTTTGCTGTTTACTTCAATAGTGTTTAATAAGAACTTAAAATCCATGTGAAGATACGTAGTTTTATGGTGTTTCCTTAGTGAGCTTGTTGTTTCCATTTTGGAATGTCAGCGGGAAATATAGGACATGGCATTCTCCTATTGTCTTTAAAATTCTATAGAGCAAGTTTCCCTTAGGATTTGATTGCTTGTGCGCTGAGTATATATTTGAGTTGAAAGTTAGGTTCTCCGTTTCTTATATTTTTTTTCTATTTTTGATCTATTTCAAGAGTTAACACAACAGTATTAAAAGGATTAACGTTAATATTGTCTTGTTACTAATTTTAAATTCTTACAAATAAACGTGGACAGTAACTAAAATAGATTAGACCTTTAAGCTTACCTATGTTATATCGTCTTTTTGCTCAATTTATGTTTTTCTTTGAGTGTTTCCCTCAACCAAGCTCCCTGGTTTAGTTGAGCTATCAAATCTTCACCACGAGTTTCCTGCTTCCAAAAGACTGTAGGGCTCAGTGTGGATCGGCTTTACTAGTAAATGGTTAAAGTGGGTCCTGAATTTAAATGAAAAGATCCACAAAGAGCCCTTTTCTTGTTATTGAGCATTTACTAAACGATTGAAATTGTGCTTCAACTTTTTCCCCAGTGGAATTATTTATTAACATGACTTTCTATCAACTTCCTTTGAAAAAGGTAATTTTCCAAGGGTGCAGGAGTTCATAGAGAATATTGCTGGGCCAAATCGAAAGAGAAATGAGGAACTCGTATGAAATTGTTTCTATCACTTGCCTACTATATATCTTGGCTTCTTGTATTATTCAGAAAACAATTTTATTAGACTATTAGTCATAACTCAGTAGCAATTAGTCACTATCTTCAGATTGATTATTGACGTTATAAAATTGATTTTATTACTTCTACACACACGCGCACACACATATTACTAGAACACTTTTATATATGTATGTTATGCACATTTTGTATATCGAACTTCAATGAATGTATGTATGTACATATGTATGTAGTATTATTTTTTGGCATGTTTGGTTCATAGGTTTGAAAAGAAATTAAAATTTTTTGTGAGAGAAAAAACTGTAGCAAAAAGGTTTGAACTGTGATTCAAACTAGTGAAACAAACAAGCTCTTTATTTCAAACTTAAGTAGTGTACTCTGTATGTGTGTATACTTGATTTTTGAGTATTATCTTATACACGTATTCAAGCTTTACATGTGTGTATCTGGTGTCCACATAGGATGTGTAACAATTTAAATCCTTGTCCCCAAAGTATATTCTCTTGAAAGTGATTTTGGGGAAGAGGTGATCTAGTCTGCCCCATAGATGGATAGTAAATATGGATTTGAGATTTTCCTTATGGGAATCTGCAGGTTCCTGTAGCTCCATTGCGAAGAGGCGATGGACCTTCCTTTTTTCCTCAAACCTGGCACAGCGAAACGCGTGAACCTGAAGATTGTCCTCCTGATAAAGGGATTCCCACTATGATTACATGGAACTATGGTGGTAACAATGTGGCTGTAGAGGGATCTTGGGACAACTGGACGTCTAGGTAAGCTATTGTAACATCAAACTTTACAATGCAAAAAAAAAAGAACTGTTTTTTTGGATGTAAACTCCATATCTGCATGAAGGTATGCGATATGATTTGTATCTGGTTTCAGGAGAACAATGCAGAGATCTGGTAAGGATTTCTCTATTCTCTTGGTGCTGCCGGCTGGCATATATCGTTACAAGCTCATTGTTGATGGTGAATGGAGATACATCCCGGAACTTCCATTTATAGCTGATGACAGAGGCCATATCTGTAATCTTCTTGACGTTAATGTATGCATCTATCGAAACCTTTTTTTATGCATCCGATGTTCTCCTTTGATTTTCGTTTTTGTTTATCATTCAAGTTAACCACCCTTTGGAACAAAGCCAAATGGAAGGCTGTAAAGTGATGTTGGCATATAGCAATTACATGTAGCAGAGAGAAAAAGAGTGGTGATGCTGAAATAGTGTCTCACCTTTGGCAAAAGAAAATAAAAAACAAACAAAAAAACAAAAGAAAAATGGTGTCTTACATACACCCTATGCTAGCTTATTAGGTTACAAGCACATGCATCAACAAAAAGTAATTGGAATCTGAAAAAAATAAAAAATAAAAATTGAAAAAATAAAAAAATCTTATGTTAAATCATACTATTTTATTTTAACTTACTTGGGTATTAACAAAAATCTTATTCTGGTACTTGCAGGTTTAGAAATTATGTTAATCATACTATTTATTTTAATTAACTTTTTTCGTTATTGTATTTTGATCATCGTACCTTTTGTGATTAGGGCAGGTCCCTTTTCGTGTGCGAGGTTTAGTTTCCTTGTTTTCCTATGACTAGTTTCCGATTCTGCAATAGCATTTCAATTAGCCTGAGAAAAAAAGCTTTTGCTAATATAGTTAAGGGTTCAGGCTTCATTGACGAATGCCATCACAAAATTGAGGCCTATCTCTCTCTCCCCCCACTTTTTCTTCCTATAAATCCAAGCATATTTAGACTTGATTATTGAATACTATCCGGCTTGAAACCTGCTCTTCTTTCATCTTGTTGTCCCCTGTTTCCGATGCATTTTTCCTTGAGTTACAATCTTTTTCTCTCTTCTTTCTTTCCCTTTCTATGTCACATATTTTAATTACTCTCTGGTTTTTCTCTCATCTATTTAAGCTATGCCAGTCTTTATCGTGTTTTTGGGAGAAGCAAAAGATTTGTTTGGTTGGACTAAATTTTTCTGCATGAAATTATGTTATTGAAGTTGAATCTTGGCCACTTCTTGCTGCTTTGTATAGGATTACGTGCCAGAGAACCTCGAGAGTGTTGCTGAGTTTGAGGTTCCACCTTCCCCAGAATCTAGCTACAGTCAAGTATTTCCAGCTGAAGAAGATTTTGCAAAGGACCCAGTACTTGTTCCGTCTCAGCTTCATCTAACTGTTCTTGGCATGGAAAACTCAAATGAAGCTTCTTCCTCTTCTTCATCTTCTTCCAAACCTCAACATGTTGTACTTAACCACCTCTTCATAGAGAAGGGATGGCCCTCCCAGTCTGTGGTTGCCATGGGACTAACTCATAGGTTTCAGTCTAAGTATGTCACAGTTGTCCTCTATAAACCACTCAAAAAGTAGGTTTCTCACTTTTGTCAAGCCTCAACTCTGTAAAGAAATCTGTTAGTACTGCTTTTTTTACTTACTCTGTGAAGTTATAGTTGCTCAGAACCCACAACACTTAAAAGTCATGTCAAATGTTCTCTGTCTGTAATGCTGCAACGTTCATTTCAGTTATTCTGCTTGTTGGAATTTCTTTTTACTTTCTGCAAATTGTGAAAAAGTATTTATGGGTCTACATTTGCTATTACTCTTGTTTTCTTTCTCTGGGTTCCGTTGAGAGCACTCAGCATGGTCCCGGAGATATGATTGCAGACATAGCTTAACGGTAAATCCACTATCCTACCCTTTATGTTGAGGTCCAAGTTTCTTCCACTCCGGCTCAAAAGAAATGATTTGAAGAGTCACGACGGTATTATTGAGCTACAGGTGGAATTGCTGCAACAGCTGCAACCATTCTCAGCGCCGCTTTTGGTGACAATATTATGCTTTGTTTCATTCATTCAGTACATTTTGAGATAGTATACTATTTGGAACCTTTATTGTGTTATTCCTCTTATTTTCTTCACCTCTAAAGAGAGGTTAACATAAACCAAGCCCGACACCTTCTGGAATCAAGTCGGTCCATAATAGTCAAGGAAATTTTCTGTACTTGGAAGGATTGGTTTTTTTTTTTTTTTTTCCTGGGCGCTATCCTAGCACTATGTACGGTAGGAAGGGGAGAAATTAGGATGAAGAGAGAGATGTAATAGATGGAAAATAAGCATGATTGAATAAAAAATGTTTTTTTTTTTTTTTTTTTTTTTTTGTTTTTTTTTTTTTTTTTTGTTTTTGTTTAGTATGATAAGAGGGAATAAAAATAAGTCATTGAACGAATATTATTTGACATATTTTATTTATTTGTGTTATTTTGTTTGGAAATGAGATTAAATAACTTAGGGTTTGTTCTTTTGTCCTTTTGAGTTGACTTGAGTGTAGATTTTGAGTTGAGTTTGAGTTATAATTTAAGTTGAAGTTGTAACTTGAGTTTGTGTTTGGTTGTATACATTTGAGTTATGGTTTGAGATAAAAATCTTTTTGAGTTTGTATTTAAGTGAGTCAAAACTTGAATTTGTATTTAGATCGTATTTTAATAAAAATTCAATGCTGATGGAAAATTTTAATAGGGTACATGGGTGGGATTTTATTGTCTTTTTGTTGTCAACGCAAAGAAAAAAAATCATCTCAATCAGAATTAATAATGAAAAAGTTATAGCATTTTTAAGAATATAAAAAATACTGTTTATTAATTTGAGTTTGAGTTTCTGAACTCGAGTTGAATGAGAAATTTGAACTCAAATTTTAATCTCAAACTCGAGTTTAAACTTAAAAGTACATAAATTTAAGTAAAATTATAACTCGAATTATTTTCTTTAAGTTTTTAATTCAAAAAAAGGCTGTCGAACAGCCGTTTATGTGATAACTTTTCTATTAGCAAAAGGAAATTTGATACATATCTCCAAAAACCCGTCTATTTATGGATGGATTAATCTGGTGACTCCTTTCTTGCACCATTTTTGCCTTTATTTTCTCCTCTTCTATCCTACTAACAACTCATTTTCCATTATCTCCTAAAAATCTCTCTACTCTACCCTCCCTCCACTTTTCTTGTTAAGTTGAAATGAAGTTTTTTTTTTTTTTTTTTTCCTGTTTCAAAAAAAATGATGTTTTTGTTTTCCCTTCTTATGCCGGAAAAAAATGCAGTAGATTTAGCTCTTCTGCTACAACTCTGTTAGAAACGGTAGATATTTATGGCTATCATGCACTTTTTATCTTTTTTTCCTTTGCTGAATCATTGTCAATCATTCTTATTCTTATTATCTAGATATGGATATAAATATAGGTCTCTGAAAAATGCATTCATGGTTGAATGTATTTATGGCTATCATGCACTTTTTATCTTTTTTTCCTTTGCTGAATCATTGTCAATCATTCTTATTCTTATTATATAGATATGGATATAAATATAGGTCTCTGAAAAATGCATTCATGGTTGAATTATAAATAACAGTCTTGGGTTTCAATTAGCTCGATTAACATACCTTCAAATGACTAGTTATAGCAAAAATTTGACACAACCAGCCATTTCAGCACTAATATGATGATCAACAGTCCAAGCAAAATGACCTAGATAAAGTCCGTAATTCTAAACTGAAATGTAATAGGTCCAACCTTATTAGCTAAACCTACCACACTTTCTCCTCTCCAATTTCTTTGTAAAGTATGAGAATTAAAGTTTTAGGGCTCGTTTAGTTTTCTGATACGAGTTTTTAATTCGAGCTGAAATGTAACTTTATGTGAGAGCTTTTTACTGTAATAAAAATGTTAGATGTGACTGTTTCTGAGAGCTTTTTACTGTAGTAAAACTCAAATTTTAAACTCAAATCGGTAAAATGAACAAGACTTACAATTCACTATTTTTTCAGCAATTTGATTAACATGAGGAGGCTGGTCCTACCATTAATCATGCACACCAGCACAAGCCACTCATTTTTATTTTATTTTATTTTTTTTCCTTTTCTCTTGTTAAAAGGCTGAGGATAATATTTGTTGGTTTGGATATTCATTTAACACAATCATACGAAATTCACAACATAGTAAAGGACTTGCGTTTAGGCAAATACATAGTAAATAAACTACAGACGAGTAGAGAGAAGGTAGATTAAGGGACCATAGTTGATAATTAGTTGTACCATGTTTAGAGAATTAGACATTTTTCACGAACACAATCTCTAAGACGAGGTTTCTTGCCACCGTTATCGCCGTTTGACGGCTTAATCCTTGACCTTCTTCTTTCTTCAATCCTCTTTTGCCGCCTTCTGCAAATAATATGAAGACATTTTAGTAAAAGAAAAAGGAGGGGCCAGTTCCTTCATTGTGAAAGCTAGTGGAGTGATGATTCCATTCTGTGCTCGGATATCACTGACCATGCAATCTTTTATTTTTTTATTTTTTTATTTTTTTGAAGTGATGAGAGAGAACAACTAGTATAGGAAAGAACTTTAATGAAAACACCAAAAAAACAAAAAACAAAAAAAAACTATGCTGTTTTTTTTTTATTGTTTCTTTTTCCTTGTCAAAGTTCTTGAATAGATGGAAGTATAACCTATGATGGCCGTGGATAAGAAAGGTCTTGTACCGTTTTGTTGCCTTTTAGAGACATGTAACTATCTTAATGACCTTTCAAAATTCAAGATTAGCAAAAATAAAATAAAATAAAAACTCAAAATTTAAGGCATACCTCAAGTATACGAGAAGAGGGACGGAATTATAGCTTTGGTCAAGTGAACTCCCCAAAAGAAAAAAAAAAAAAAAAAAAAAAAAAAAAAAAAAACGGTGATGATAAAAAAAATGCAAAAGTAAAATCCAAGCAAATGCTACAAGTGGTGGGAAAAAAGAAATGGGAGTGTGATTTATTAAAAATAAAAATTAAAAGGGGAGATTTCTGCTATAAAATATCTATTGGTAGGTGCATATTCGATCTAATTAAAACATGATCAACACAAAAAGTATGAAAAATATTATATATATATATATATATGTGTGTGTGTGAATATAATACAGATTGACGGTTTAAAATAAAATCTTGTGAATTCGATACTTTTTCATACCAGACTAAAAAATTATTTAAGGATAATAAAGTGAGGTGGTATGCCATTTTTTGCACACACAACCAAGAACAAAAATATTCAAAGAATAAAAATGAGAATATGAGATTTCTATCATGATCAAAAAAAATATTCTAATACAGATTGACGGTTTAAAACAAAATCATGTGAATTCGATACTTTTTCATACCATGCAGTAAAATTATTTTAAGAATAGTAAAGTAAGGTGGCATGCCATCTTTTGCACACACAACCAAGAGCAAACATATTCAAAGAATAAAAATAAGAATATGAGATTTCTATCATGATCAAAAAAGTATTCTAATACACAGTTTAAAACAAAATCCTACGAATTTGATACTTTTTCATACCAGACAGTAAAATTATTTAAGGATAGTAAAGTGAGGTGGCATGTCATCTTTTGCACACACACAACCAAGAACAAAAATATTCAAAGAATAAAAATAAGAATATGAGAATTCTATCATGATCAAAAAAGTATTCTCAAAGATCACGTTGCAAGGCAAATGCCAACTTTACCCTTTCTATTTATTTATTCATTATTTTTTTTTATATTTTTTGTTTTGTAGGAGGCAAAAACCAGCATTTTGAGCATAGATTCAGTTTGACAAAAAGTTGTCCACTACTAAATAAATGTGGATCAGTACCCCTATTATTTAAAAAAAAAATAGAAAAAAGAAAATCGGTTGTCTGTATAGTGATTAATAAAAAAACGTATACCTTCTATCAAAAGGTAAGATATGCATACACCAGTAGTAATAAGTCAAAAAATAAAAAGTTTGAAATACATGTTGGGAAAATATAATTAGAAGGGATTATTTGTATAGTAATAGTTAATCACTATTAACTATTAACTATTACTAAGTAAATATTTCTTTTCTTTCTTTTTCTTTTTTCCTCTTTTTGTAAGAAAAGCTAGCTAAAATTCTTTTCAGTGGAAAATAATTCCAAAAGCATTAAAGCTTAGTTGCTGACTGGCTTTAGCATCCAAAAAGAGGAGGACGTCAGAACCAAAGAATCCCAGTTTAAATCCATAAGAATAAAGAATGCTAGGTCCCCCACTCTAAAATTATTCCCAATTTCACTAGCGGAAAAGCTGAAATTTTTTCGACCAATTTTAATTTTCAACCAATGGATCGACACAAAAAAAAAAAAAAAAAAAAAAAAAAAAAAAAAAAAACATTTTTTAAAAAAGGCCCGCTAATATGATATGAGTATATGACGTCAGTTTTCAAGAATACTTTTTTTTTTTCCTAACACCATTGAGCAGCAACTAGCAAGGTAATGGTAATATCATGATTTGATAGTATAAGTTAGGAAACTGACGAAACTCCTATGGTAGACACTGTTGTTTTTAACTATAAGTTTTCAATGATTTGATAGTATCATGATTTTATATGTGATACACTACGACTCCTATCGACCTTCGTCAAAAATTTTCATTTTTTATTAGATAAAATAGTTGGTTTACTTTTCTAATTTCTATTCCTTTGGAAATAACATGAGCTATATCTTTCGTCAAGCGCCCTACTTCAGAACGCATGACATGTTGTGTGTGTTTAACATGCAAATCCAAAAACCAACATGGTTTAAACCACAAACCAAAAGGTTCAAACCATAGTTTGAACCCTCAAACCAAACGACACTTCTAACGGATTCAATAACATGCAAATCTGAATAGCCAACATGTAGACAAAGAACTTGTCGGAAAAAAGCTGTTGGAAGAAAAGGTGACCATATAACCTTTTGTCCTATGGCACCATAAAATGCCAAGGATTACCGTTTCGCTAGTAAATCACATGTATAACTTACTGTTAGAACTACTTGGTCTCAAATTTTGTGATCTCGCTAATGGTCTTCATTGGTTACCGAATAGCCAGACAGAAAAGAAACAAATTCCAAGGCAGACAAAAAACCTCGGAACAGAACCCAAAAGAAGCAGGAATTGTAGGAAGAAAACCGGATTCTTCCACATTCTCATCAAGGCTGAAACCATTGGAAGAAAATTCGAGGAATGAAAGTGCACATAACAAGGAAAAAGAACAAGAAAAATTTGTGTTTTTTAGTTCCAAAGAAGAAAAATGAGGAGGATATTACCGATTCACTACAATTTCAAAAAAGACATGAAAGATTTATGTTCTTTTCTCATTGTTTAAGCAGGTATACAACTACGAAAATCACCTGACATTTTGCTACTTGGATGAAGCCCGCTTGCTATCAAAAAGCAAAAGCGATCGTGTAATAAATCCACACACAACATAGAGAAGATGAAGCACGGCAACATCTCAGTCATGTTACAAAGAGTGGGACTGCAAGGCACAACTTATGGAACAGAAAAAGCAACTGGCCATATAATAAGCCATAAGAAGATTCATAAAATCAAGGAGACAAAATTTTGGATATTGACAAGGAAAATTCACCCTTAAACAAAAACATAAGATTCAACCAATAGTTCTAGGTTCATAATATCAAAGGTAGAAAGGAATACAAAATTTAGAAACACTACCAAACAAGCTACTGAATAGAGAACAAACAAGCAAATTACTAAAGAAACAGTACGACAAATAATGCAAACAAGGAAAGAGACAATCAACCAGCAAAAGCTAGTAGTAACCCAAATGAAGATGTCTGAACGGCAAATAGAATCTCATGAAACTTATCTGCCCCGATCCCTTTTTTAATTTATGCTTTATCAGAGATTATTTTAGGTTTAGTCAATTTGGTCCTCACTTGGCCATCATGACTTTGACAAACTCTTCATAGTTGATCTGCCCGTCTCCATCAACATCCGCCTCACGGATCATCTCATCCACTTCCTCATCGGTCAGCTTCTCACCGAGATTTGTCATGACATGGCGCAGCTCAGCTGCAGAAATGAAGCCATTCTGGTCCTTGTCGAACACACGGAAAGCTTCCTTGAGCTCCTCCTCAGAGTCAGTGTCCTTCATTTTTCTGGCCATCAGATTAAGGAATTCAGGGAAATCAATGGTGCCGTTGCCATCAGCATCAACCTCATTGATCATATCCTGAAGCTCTGCCTCAGTTGGGTTCTGCCCAAGAGACCGCATGACAGTTCCAAGCTCCTTGGTTGTGATGCAACCTATAAAAATATAGTTGTAAAAAAATATACCAGACGCCAAGCATTACAAACAAATGAACAGTAATAGACACAAATAAAACATTTCAATTGCAAAGCCAAAGTTCAAGAATAACAAGAGAGAGAGAGAGAGAGACCAATAAATCTGGATTCTCTTAACATGTATCGTTCTCCAAAACAGTGTAAACAAACAATATATGAGTCAATCCTACAAGAACCAAATAGAAGGCAAACCAACCAACAAAGACAATAATTTGAAACTAAGAAATAAAATAAAAAAAAGGAACCCGATCATTCAAACAAATAAACAGTAAGCGTTGTTATTCAAAGTAATGATACGAAAACAATATAAATGTGCCATCGTTGGTAAGAAAAGAGTAGATCTTAATGTTCTGGACTCGCAACAACAATGTGATTATTACCAAGCCATCCTTAGAAAAAGAACGGACTGAAATCCGTTTGAGTGGTTATTCTGATGTGTTGATCCATAAGTAAACGTTGATGGAATTAAGGCCAAGAGACCAAACACCACAACCCAGAAGGGCTGAGCACATCATATCCCAAATCAATAACCATATTTCAGAAATCAAAAGGAAAAATTCGATCGTCAAAATCTCTCAAATGAAAGAGAGAAAACAAGTAAATCGACGATAATAAGTCATAATCATAAATCAACAAAAGGTCGCATGCGATCTGGATTCCGAAGATCGAGACAGATAAAAAATAACCCTAACAGACACCATCCAAACACAAAACATATAATAATCAGCCAAAAAATAAAAATAAAAGAGCTTTGTTATCCTCGGACCCTTAATTACAAGAAAACAAAAATTAGGTCAACAAAAAGAAACGATTTTGAACCATTTCCCATCAAATTCAGAACCGCGACATTTTCAGAAACAAAAATCCGGAACAACAATCATCAGGCAACGATATACAAAAACAGATCTGGAAATCAGAGATTAGCAAACGAAAAATCAGAAGCGAAAAAAACAAGGAAAGAGAGAGAGAGGGATCTGAGAGAGAAGACCATCGCCGTCCTTGTCGAATAGGCTGAAGGCCTCCTTGAACTCAGAGATCTGGTCGTCGGTGAGCTGATCGGCCATTGCTGAAGCTTGTTGGAGGAGAGAGAGAGATCACCGGAACCAAACAAGGTCCGCTCTAGAGAGAGAGAGAGAGAGAGAGAAGGAGAAACTGAGGGAAAATGAAGACTGGGGATTCTCTCTCTGGGATATCTGTAAATCTGTTTGTCGCCAATGTGGAAAATTAGTAAAGAGAGGGATGCTATTTATATATTGGAAAAATAACTAAAATAGATGGTGATGGTCCACCCACACAAGGGCATTTGATTCTCTCTCATCCGCACGTAATCCCTTTCTCCATCGCCTATTGATGTTTTATGTATTGACTATTTTGTCCTTTTTTCTTTTTTTGTTATTTTTTTAACCGTGAGATTACATCGAAATCATAGAAGACTTGCAAAATTTTGGTAAACTATTAAGTAAAATGAGACGTCGAATTGTAATTAAATTGGTTTGGTAAACATATGAAAGAAGTGTGGTTGACATATATACAAACATAGCTGTTTTCAATAGTTAATTGGCATGGATGAGATGATATTTGAGTCGCACTAAAGCTTGCATTAAATAAATAAATTATAGTTTGTGGGGAAGGAAGGTATATCTTTTCATAAGAGTCAAATAAAATACAATTTCCAACCCCCTAATGAACTCGTCTATCATAAAAGGCATGCTTAGAGGATGTTTGGTACATAAATTCGTTTATTGATTCGAATCATGGTTTGTGGTTCGCAACAGTATTTTCTCTCACAAAAAATACACGTAAATCAAAAATAATTCTAATCACACGGTTCTAATCCATAAACCAAACGTCTCCTTAGTTAGACCATTAGTTTGCTCATCTCACAACACGTTATTTAAACAGCCAAAACAATGGATAGAAAACAAAAAACAGAGAGTATATAAGAATTTTATGCTCGTTTGTTTCGTATATTCAAACTCAAATTATCGATTCTGCTATAGAGTTTTTCTCTCATAGAAAAATTAAATTTTAAACGTTAGAATCAAGAATTATGATTTGAGTATGCCTTTTAAACAAGCCCATAATGCCCTATTCAGTTTCTCAAATTTATAGATGATGAGAGAATTAAAGTGTAGGGCCTGAATAAGCTCTAAAGCATAAGTCTTGATAGATTGAGTGGCAAGCGGATATTTGCAACCCATTTGAGACAAATGCTAAAAGCAATTGCTTTAGCTTTATCTTGAGGAAAATTTTTCAGGGATTTTGGAGGCAAATGCAACCATAACGAAATTCATATTGCATTCTCCTCGGATGAAAGACTTGCATCAACATTTAATTTGTAATGCCCTCGGAAAGGAAATGCTTTTTTTTTTTACTCTACGGAGAATTTTGAGTGTAAATAGTTATGTGTAGTGTTGGAACTTTGGACGGGTCATCCGCAACCGCCCGAAAATATTAATTTTTTATTCGAAGCCCGACCCGACCCGTCCAAAAAATTCGGGCCACCCACCTGAGCCCGAAAATGTCCTTGAACGGGCCGCGGGCTTATATTTGGCTACCCGAGCCTGGCCGGGCAGCCCGAACCTGTTCGAATAGCCCGAATTTTTTTTAATTTTTTAAATTTTTATAATTATTAAGTTATTTTGTGTTAAAATTATATAAAAATTAAAATCAACATTCAACATACATTATTAATACAATTTAATAAATTAATCATGTATATTAATTATGTATATTAAATTTGTAATTCATGATTGTCTCGTTAAAAATCTTACCAAGAAAAACCCAATTGGGATAATAACTTGGCAAGGAAAAAATAGTGCAATCATTTTGTGATGAATTACAAATTTTACAAACTTACAAAGTTATACAATTACAATGTCAAAAGTAAAACATATTTACAAATTACAAATTTACAATTTAATTTGAAGCTGAATGATCGTCTTCAAAATTAAATGTTAATCGATTAAATTCATCGATCCATTCTTGGCTTGCCGGCAAAATTGTATCCTATAGACGTTGATCGGCCCGATCCCAATCTTTAATGCAGACAAAGGCTTCAACAATGTCCCTTTGTAATGCATTCCGGCGTTCCTCAAGTATTTTTCCTGTTGTACTGAAGGCTTGTTCGGATGAAATAGTAGAGACTGGGATCGAAAATATATCCATTATCAATCGAGTTAGGATTGGCCAAGTTAATGTACGTGCCCTCTACCATTAAACTAAGTCAAATGATTCTCTAGTACCGTCGACTACTAAGCCTTCACTGAGGTATGCCATAAGCTCATTGAAGCTGCCGCCGCCGCTGCCACTGCCACTTGTTGATGAAGATCCACTCCCAGCTTCTGTTTGAGTTGTCTTCTTCTTCTTCTTTAACTCGAAAACATTCAAGAATGAATGCGGGTTTTCGTCTTGTTGTTGCGGTTCTTGTACTCTAGAGTTTGTGCTTCTAAGCCTAATCTCATATTTACTATAGATCGAATATATTTTTTCCTTTATTATTGGATATTGGTCCGAACAATTGATGCCTAAAAATTCACCTAAGTTTTCTAAACCACTTTCTAAACCTTCTAATTTTAATTTAGGATAAAAAATAGTACCTAAACCATACAACAAAGGCAACTTAGACTAATATTTTATAAATTTCTTTTCCATAGAATGGATAGGAACTCCTAAGATTGGGTCCTCCCTATATTCACTAAATAAAATACTAATTCGTAAAAGTTCACCTAAAGCTAAAGGTGATGTTGGGTAATATGGTCCATTAAGTTTTAGAGTAATTTCATGAAATCTACCTAAAAATTAATACAAAACTTCAGCAATTTACCAATCATATGTGTCTATATGTCCTACTCCTACTTTTGCACACATATAGTTTGTTATAACATCCTTCTAAGGGATGCATTGTTGAAGCATTATGTAAGTTGAGTTCCATCTTATAGGCATATCTAACGCTAATGCTCTAGGAGGTATATTTAATGCTCGTAAGAACCTAAACCAATCTTCTTGTCTTTGGTTACTACATTGAATCCATGCAAGACTATCTCTAATTCTTTTAATGTGATTACCCATTTCTTTTAAACTGAATTTAACAATTAAATTAATTACGTGACATGCACAATGTTGGTGAAAAATAGTACCGTCACCGAATAAACTTAAATCATTTTTAAAAAACTTAATTGCTTTTGTATTGACACTAGCATTATCTAATGTTATAGCTATTGCTTTATCTCTTAATCTAAATTCATCAATTCCATTTAAAATAGTATTATATATTAAATCTGTGCTATGTGATCCTAGAACACATTTAAAATATAATATTCTCTTATCTAAATCAAATCCTTTAAGGTAATATCCGGTTACAGTTAAATAATCTTTATTGGCAACGGCAGACCAAATATCTGCCGTTAACCTAACGCACCCGCTAGTCAAGTGTAAAAAGTTTATTAATGTTTCTTTTTCTTTTTTAAATAATTTTAATAAATCTTTTCTAAAAGTAGTTTTTGAAGTGAACTGTGCATTAGGATTATGTACAACCTTAATATATCGTTGCCAATTAGGATGCTCTACAAAACTAAGTGGTTGATCTAAAGCAACTATCATTCGTGCAACTTTCATACGATCTACTTGCATATCGTATTTCTAAGTGGTTAGACCACCGGTTGCGCGATCAAACGATAATTGTGTTTGGCGGAGTTCGGATCCGCTGGATTGGTTAAGCTTTTGAAGACACTTTTCGGAGTGTCTTCTCAAGTGTGTGGTGTCGTGACTAGTGTCACCTTGTAATTTAGATAAACAATACTTACACGTTGTGTTGGGCATCAACGGGAATACCACTATAACTAAAAGGATCTATTATAAAAAAATAAGAGCGATTTGAGAGAGAGAGCTTTAGGATAATGTGATAGTACTTGAAAAAATTATGAGAGAGATTTGAGAAATTGAGAGAGATTGAGAGAAATTGAGAGGGATTGAGAAAGTTTGAGTAAGAAAAATGTGTGGAGGATGGGGATATTTATAGAGAAATTTTTGGGTTAAAAAATGATTTTTTTTTCAAAAAAATCCGGGTGCAATGGCTATTTAGTGTTTCGGCGGGTCGGGTTCGGGTAGGTTCGGGCGGTAACGGTTAAAAAACTAGCCGTTAGACGGGCCTTTGGGCATTCAGGCAATTCGGGCAGCAGCAGGCTCCGGCGAGGTGACCATTTTCGGGCTGCCCAAGCTCGAGCCCGAATTTACAACTTTGGACGGGCCGAGAATTGGGCCTGCCCGCCGAGCACGAAAAATTCAAGCCTCGGGCCTGCCCGCCGATCCAAAGTTCTAACACTAGTTATATGTGTGCACATATTTTAGGGGTTGTTCATTTACATTTTTGAGTTAGGGTGACTTAAGTGATTATCTTGAGTTGAGTTTGAGTTATAACATGAGTTAAAGTTATAACTTAAGTTTGTATTTGGATTTGCATATTTGAGTTATGATTTGAATTGAGAATCTATTTGAGTTTGTGTTTGAGTGGGTCAAAACTTAAATTTGTATTTAGATAATATTTTAATAAAAACTCAATAGTGATGAAAAATTTTAATAGAGTATATGGGTGGGGTTTTATTCGTCTTTTCGTTATGAATGCATAGAAAAAAACCATCATAATGAACCTTTACCGAATCTACACTCCTTTCTCTCTTTCCACGCCATCGTGACATATCTGTAATGATCCGCACTGCTTTTTTGTCCACACTATCACAACATATTTGCTAATCACTGCCGAGAATAACATATGTGACAAAAAAAATTTCTAGCGATTTGCTAATCTTAGATTTGAGATTTTAAGATCTAAGAGTTGATCTGTACTTGTAACACCATAAAGAATTAATTGGGATTAATTAAGATAATTGAGATTATTAGTGTGCCTAATCTGATTTAATTAATTGAGTTTTGATTAATAAATGTTTCTGACGTGTAATTTAAATAGTTCCAAGGTATTTAAATTATTCTCAGTAATTTTTTATTTTAACCCAGAAGTGTGAATGGGCTCATTTCTGGACTACTTCCTTTAAATGTTAGTATCTGTCTATTTTCTTTTCTTTTTCTTTTTCTTTTCTCCCTTTTCTTTCTTTTTCTTTTCCTTCCTTCCCGTGCACCTCTCTCTCTCACACTCTCATTCTCTCACTCTCACTCTCTCTCTCTCTCTCTCCCTCGCCCGTTTTAGCTTAAAATCAACTGGATTTCGAGCCAAATG